GTGGTAGTTTATCTATTATGCCACAAACAATAAGGTTGTCTCCAATTTTAATATCCTCGGATCTGAGCTCTCCAACGATCATTATGAAGTCTTGAGCTTGGTCTACTACAGATTTGTTGTCCACCATTTGAAAACGAAAAAATCTGCTAGCAGCATATTTTTTCGCACCTGCCTCCTCGGTATCATACTTACTCTGCAATGCTTTCCAAATTTTCTTGGCAGTAGAGTAAGTTCTATCATAATAATCATAAAAATTATCAGATAGACAATTAAGAAGATAATACCGACACTTGTATGAGTCATCGTTGTATTTTTCAATTTTTTCTTGAAGGGCAATTAGCTCATCATCATTCATGGAGGAGTTGTCTACTTTGCTAGGATTTTTCTCAGTTAAAACGTAAGAAACATTGAGAAGACTCAAATAAAAAAGTACTTTACCCTTCCATCTCTTGAAATGAGTACCGTTGAAACGGAATGGCTTATTGAGATCTCCCACCTTGATATCCGCGGATTTTTCAACTGTAGCCATTTGAATCTCCTTAAAATTGTTAGTGAAAATACAATTACAGTTGAAAAAAATAAAATGAATAAAATATCTTCAGGTTGAGGCGCGGATATCTCGCTCTCTTTAAGGAGAAAATCTCACTTTATACCCATTAAGCCCAAACTATTTACCCTTAAATACCCAAACCTAAACTATTTACTTTTCCTACCTATGCAACCAAAACTATTTACCCGGCAAAATTTAACGTTACCTCGGAAGAAACCTTCAGAGGAACACGGGTGATGATTCACTTTGGAACATGACTATTTCTTATCTGTCTATAGCAGTCACCTTTCGATTTTCTGGGAATACTTCTCCATTACTGTTTGCTATTTTGTCTTAGCCACTAAACCAATTGACCATGTTTTTCTCTACATTTTCTTCTTCGTTCTTCTTGGCTCACCATTTTTATGCTCCTCCTCTTCTTCTTCCTCATTTTACCTTCCTCCAATTCTTTGCTCAACTCCCCATTCATCAATGCCACCCTCCGATGATAGCCTCGACAACTCACCGTTAACTACTATGCCAAGACTTGCCCTAAAGTTGAAATTCTTGTTGGCTCAATAACCTCTCATATGTTCAAAGATGCCCCTGCCTCTGCCCTGCCACCATTCGCCTCTTATTCATGATTGCTTTGTTGAAGTGGTGCTATTATTTTGAAGATTTATTGTTTGATTCGATGTGGTGCTATAAAATATTGCTTATAGTATCTTCGAGTAAGCTTCCTAGATCTAAATTTTTATGTGTATTTGAATATCCACCATTGTTGGGCTTGAAGCTCAATTTTATTTATGAAGATTTCTTGTTTGATTCAAAGTGGGTGCTGTTAAATATTACTTATAGTACCTTCTGGAAGGTCATACTGAAATTTGATAGCATTTGGAGCTGATTGAGATCGAAATTTTCATTTGAAAATCGAAGAAGAACACAGCTACAATATACCGCTAGGGTATACAATATGCTGTAGGAGTATATAGCTATACTGCAACACTATACTATTATAGTTTACAAAATAGTATACCGCTACAGTATACTAATATACTATAGGAGTATATAGTTATACTGCAACAGTATACTATTATAGTATACAATATATTGTTATGGTATACTGTAATAATATGCAAGATACTGTAACAATATGTTGTAATAGTATACAATATACTATAATAGTATACTTATTACCCGTAAATTCACTTGTCTGTTCCCTTTTAATTTGTTTTAAGCTTTTACCCAAGCATGAGGGGCAAACTGAAAATGCAAAAAAAAAAAAAAAATTATAGTATGCTATATGATGTAACGGTATACTCTTACAATTAGATCCTTTTAGAATTTCTAAATTTTTTTTTGACAACTGATATTATTTCAGTTTAATAATTGAATTAAAAATTTTTTAACTCTTTGCATACAATTGTATACCCTGTTGGTATAGCTATATACTATACTGGTATCATATGTTAGTTAATATTTTTCTGGTTGTATTAACTACATTTAATTGATACACAATTTGATTTTTCTTTAGTAATAATATAAAAAATAGTGAAAACGGTAAATGAAATTAGATTATGAAGAGAAAAAGAATATAAAAAAACAGAAGTTAAATGAAATTAGAAAAGAAAAAAAGAAAAAAATAAGAAGAAAACGAGAGGAAAAAAAAGGAGAAAAGAAAGAAAAAAAGAAAAAAGAAAAGAAAAGAAGCATAGAAATAAAAAAGAATTGGAGAATAAAGAAAAAATTCCCCACAAAACCTACTATGGGTAGGAAATGTAATTAGTTTATGAGTAGGAAAACAAATGGGTAGACAAGGGTAAATAGTTTTGTTTTTGTGGGTAACTGTGTCAAAACCTCCTCTTTAAGGAGATTCAAGCCCACTGCAGCAAAGTTTTTCACTGGTCCAGCAGTAATCCTCTTGACCCGTCTCCCCCAGGATACAACAGCCCGATCACGTCGTATGACTCGAACAAACTCTGGACAAGTTGTTGAGTCCAAAGCTCCACCAAGATGAACACCTTCCTTCAACAAAAGTAAAAAAAAACTCTCTTCTTCTTTTTTCACAACTTTAACCTCACTTTATAGAAACACTCTACAATTATTTTTTTTCATACCACAATATGGAAGAAAGACTCATATTTATAGGTGTAAGAATTCTTCCTTGAATTAAATTGGAAGAAAGTGGAGTAATAAGTTATGATATCATGGAGAACATGGGATAATTAGTGATAGAACATGGGAGAAGAGTTACAAAAGAGTTATGGCCATTTTCTACTTCATGGAGTAGTGGGAGTTATAGGATTATAGCCATTTTCTACATCATGGAGTAGTGGGAGTTATAGAAATTTATTTTAATAATAAAATGCAATTACACTGACATACTATAAGGAGTAAATAAGTAAATCTGTCGTAATCCGCTAAACTACATTAATAGCATAACCTATACTTTGATATATCAAGCAACATTTTAAAGTTTCACAAATCTTGAACTTTCTATAATGTCCCCAAACTTTTATATATAAAGCTTCGAACAAGAAATTAAAGTGCATCATCTTGAGCTAGATTTTATGCACCACGGTTCCGTGATTTTTAGTAGATATATATGCTACTACCAAGCATTGTAGTGGAACTGATTATATCTATAAGTCTCGAGTTTGAGCCTTGAAATATATTAGATTACCTGACTGGTTTGAGAGTATTCTTTCTTTGCTTGGGAAAGGGTTTAGTTCCTTTAACTACCCAAACTAAGTACAGTTATAGTATCAAATCTCCATGCAAACCCTCCAAACTCCATCTTCCACACATCACACGGTATTGTTCGTGAATTCTTCTTATTCTTCAATGTATACACTACCCTCACAATGCATGCAAAAGCTGGCAACTCTTCACTTTTTTCCTCCTTCCTCACAACCAACCTCACCATCATCTCCGCCGGTGCTCCTCCGTCTTCTAGGGGATCCACCATTCTCCGATATGCCGGATTCACCCACTTCACCCTATTTTGGGCATCAGATATCAACCCTGGACAGGTGTCTGTCTCTAGATTCTTCATCTTCTCTGTGTCTGTACTTCCTAAAGCTTCTCGATCTACAAACATTTTTGTCATGCCTTCCACCATCACCCAAGATTCTACCTTTTTTGGTGTCTGCATAGCCACCTGTTGAGACATGATTATTCAGTTAAATAAATAAAAGTGTATTCTCTTAGACAACTTAAACTTCTAGATGAGATAAACTATAGTACAATTCAACATGGTATCAGGCCACATCTATTTTAACGTCATCCAAAAAACAAGAAAATATTTTCGAAGTGTTTGCCCCATGAATAATCATAGTCTCTCTACATTCTCAAGGTAGGGGTAAGGTCTTATAGACACTACTCTCCCCATACTCTTCCCGGGATTACATTCGGCTTGTTGTTGTTATTGTTTTTGCCCCATGGAAAATCAGGCCACATGTAAGCAGGGGTGGATGTAATTAAGGACTTGGGAGTTCATCCAAACCCAATAGCTTTGGCTTGGATCCTGTAGAGGTGTTAAATATCCACATTCAAATAATAGAGCTTGAACTAGTAAATCAAATAGAATGGGAGCCTTGGAGCAATAATAAAGTTGTCTCTGTGTGACCTATAGGTCACAGTTTCGAGCCGTTGAATCAGCCACTAATGCTTGCATCATAGCAGGTTGTCTACATCATATCTCCTTGGGGTGCAATCCTTTTAGGAACCTTAAGTAAATGTCGAGATATTTTGTGCTCCGAGTTGTTCTTGAACCAGTAAAACAAATGGGTTAATAGTAGAATTTCGAATTCAAACTCAGAATGATCGATTCCTCTATCCACCTTTGCACGTAAGAAGGTGTATCGAAACATTATATATATAATTAAGCAAACAAATTGTGATATCTGAAGTTTAAACTTCTAATAAGATGATCACACAAGTCAACACTACCTTCAGATCTAACTGATCCGGTGAACTGAAGGCGGAGATACCATTATTATCATATTCGTGAAAACTCATCCATTGGGGTTGATCTAGCTCAGAGAAAGAGATTTCTTTTTGAAAAGAAACGTTATCTGTCGGGTTTGTAACGCTGCTGCTACTCTCAGGAAGCAACTGAAGGGTTACAATAGATCCATTATTATTATCAGATCCGTCTTTTCTTTCTTCTTTCTCTGTACTATTGTTACACTTCCTATTTTTCTTAACTCTAACGTACTTTCTCTTCCCTCTTCGTCTGCTAACCGGTTCCGCCTTTTCACTCTCCGGTTTAGAATCAGGACCTGAACCGTCGGCGACCGGTTTCGGCGCAATCGGCCGGAATCTTAACATTATCCGGTTCATTATCGTCGTATCTTGTGGTCCAACGTGGCATCCATAGAAGGGCCCACCATCACCAACATCCATGCCTGTTGAAGAGCTTTGTCTCAGAGTTATTGTTAGATTGACAGAGTGAGATATGACAATATTTTGAGCCAATTATCATAGTTACAAAACTCATGTCTGTTTTAGGGCAAAGTTGAAACAGTAGTGACGAAGATGATCGGTGGGGCCCAAGATTAAAGCAGCGTATCGAACGATGGATGTAGTGATTGGTGTGTACGTCAAAACCAATCAGAAGCTGGACACATATAAAGCACTTAGGAAAAAAGAGGGACACGTATGTACATTGATATAAACAATGTTTGAGTACTTTTGATGGGATGTTCCAGTAACCAGACGCGTGGCTTTTGTTCGAATTTACTGAACTTAACTAACCCACGCTCCCTGGTTTGTCGTGAGAATAACTTCATCTTGTTGAAAGAAGATACTTAGTATAAGATTTGATGTTGAGACATGAGAATAAGTAAAAGGTGGCTGAAAACAAACAAGAGTTATATGTATGTACGAAGTTACAGCTTTTAAGATAAGAGTTACTGCTGAATATATACTAAACACCAAACTAACATATATTGAAGTCCTAATATATTAAGCGTTATGCAGAGGCGGAACTAGAAGAGCAAATACGATTCAACAAAATTTAATAGTTTTTATTTAAACAATGTATTTGTGTTAAGAAACTTATTTAATATGTAACATATTAAATTTCGAACCCGTTTAATAGCACGTAAAGTTACCGTTTTAAAATTTAAAACTTGAAATTATGGCTCTGCCTGTGACGACATGTGAACTTTCACAAAACTAGCTAAAGTTGTATATCATTCATGTCAAAGCATTAAAAATAATGGTTGTATATGCATCTTGGTCAGGTAATGCTTTGGAGGTAGCTTAGCGAGTGAGTTATGTGCTTTTTGTTTTGATGATTGAACAAATTTCATATGAGAATCAGATAGGGAATGTGATAGAAAGCCTCTCTATGCTCAAAACAACAAGTCAAATATCTGGCACATGTTCCAATGAAATCAGTTAAGGAAACAGCAGAGGGATGATATCAGTTCCTCCGGTCACAGTACAAGTCAACTCTTATAGTTGTTAAAGTTGTTGCACTGCACACGCAACAGTACAACGGCACTGTTGAAGCATGTTGTGTACCGGACACTCCCTTGCATCATCTTTGATGACCTCACTTGTATATTACCAACATGAGGCAAGGAATTACACATGCTTGCAAAACCTAAAACATATTTTACTCTCAAGTGTGCGGCCGCCTTCATTCACTCCGCGGCAAAACAACAACATAACAAAGGACCAGATCCCAGCGTTGAATACATCGTGTGTCCTTAGTATTGTTGTGTCTTTGTTTATGCTATTCATTTGTAACTCCTACTCAGCTTATTTAGAAGCATCTCGTAGGACACTTTGTAAACCATAAACCTTGTGTTGACTAGAGTTAGTCAAAGTGGTGAGGGATTAAGAGTTTAATTCCTAGGTGACAATAAGTTGTAATCTAAAGTTGCTCAGTTAGTGAAGTTGAAATCTACGAGTGTAGGTTGTGGTTTTTAATCCCGAAAGCTGGGAGTTTTCCACGTAAATATTATTGTGTTATTTACTTACTGATGTGTGTTCTGTGAGAGCGGATAGAGAACCAGATTCTCTATACAATTTGGTGGACTCTTAATTTATATCGGTGAGCATTCATGCTAAGAATTAAATAAATCCAGACATATTATTATGTTATACAAGTGAACAAAAGAATGGCTCTCTAAAGCAAACTGTTGTGAACAACAATATGTAGACGACTCAAAAGGAATGACTATTCAAGAATGTGAAGATGGTAAGAAATATGCTAAGAAAGACACAAAAGTTTTGATTTGTTGTATCACGAAAATAAGTAGTAATAAAATTTCATATAGAAAAGAATAGGTAGGTGCACGAAGCATCCAAAGTTTATGTAGAGTTGGAGGAGAGCTACGAGCCTATATCCCGAAGAGATGTGATGTAAGTAGCCTATCCCGATTCAAGCATACTGATTCCACGGCTCGAGAAGGAGGAGAATGATGTTGGGTATAGAGTCTTAGCTAGCGACTGAAGAGAACGCTGTCCCATGTGGGCGTGGTGTTGGGATACTCTGAAATGGTTGTGATTAAAGAGGGTGTGTGGTGTTGGGCCTCGTGGATGGTCGGATGACGTTTGGGGCCCAAGAAAGTATTGGTTTCTGATTGGAGAATGAGAAAGAAGATCTCAGAGGTATTGAAATGGTAAATGTTTTCTTCGTCCCTTTTTGTTAACAAGGGAGTCGCTATTTTTCGGGTGAACACATAGTAGATCATGCTCTTGTGTAATAGCTCGTAATTATAAGGGTAAATTTCTAGACATTCCCATGCGACGGATTCGATCGATATGCTAGTAGGTTTCGAATCCTACACCTCCCATTTGGAAAGTCCACTGCTCAGCCTACTCGGCCACTTTAAATGGTTCTTCAATTCGTCATTTTTTATAGTTCGAGTTTGACATGAAATCCTCTTTAATAGAGAACGATAAAACCCTTTATAATAAGCTTTTTCAGTAACTAGTTCTTGTTTGTATAGATAATAATGAAGCTTTTGTTCAAAGTTTTTCACTTACCGTTTCTTGTTTTTAATTAGTCTACTGTATTAATCACTTATTTTTCGTTTTGCACAAGCCCTGCTGAAAGTTGGCCAGTCGGAGAAAGTGCCAAATTAAGGAATTTTAGTACTAGTTCTATATATTATAGTAGTATATGATTTCTGCTAGCTTTACAACCAACAATGAGGAGGACATAGGAATTATTGTTATCTTGAATTAATGTAATTGGTAGAATGCCTTAGTAATGATCAAAGCTAAAAACAGTACAGAAGAGAAAGAAAAGGGAAATGACTTAGGCCGAGGCTTAGGGGCGAAGGTAGAGTAGCGGTTAGGGGTTTATTTGAGCGCATAACTTTTGAAGCGGAGAATAAACCTATGTGAAAAATTCATTAAAATTGTAACATATGATAGGTCTGAATTCATAAATTTAAAAATATAATGCTAAGAGTTCTAGAGGTTTGAACTTATAAAATTTAAATTTTGGATCCGCCAATAGGCAGATCAAAACTCAAGCAAGGAATCAAGCTAGAAAAGAAAGTTACCCCACACGATTCGTGATTATGTGTTATACGTAATTTATTTTTCGAAGTGATCAAATTAATCAAACTTTGAATGAAGGTACACTAACATTATTCAAAGTTTAAGAAAATGAAGAACTCCGGAAATTAGTGACTTTCTACCAAAGCTAAAAAGTGGACTTTCAGTATGTAATAAGCGAGCATGCATTTGACAGAGAACTACTAACGAGTCTAATATTCTATTGTAAATGGGAATGATATTCCGTGTTCACGCGCACAGTCCGAAAAAGGGCCGTGAGATTTGATATAGATAACCTACTCTAATGCAAGTATTATTGAATATTTTCGCGGTTCGAAAAATAAATTACTATGAAAAAAATTAGTAATGGGTGTATTGGTAAAGGTCTCCATCACACAGTTGTATAAACAATTTTAGTCAGGGTACACACTTTTTTTTTTTTAAATTCAGTATATGTTGTCCTAAAATACTAAGAAGGGAACGATTATTTCAGGATTTTCTTTTACAGCTTCTTTGGATGGTTGTTACTTATTATATTGTATCGTGTTATTACTTTAAATACAATGTTTGTTTTGATTGTCACTTAAATTTTATTGTATTGTATCGTTATATCCGTCGTTACGTAACGACGAAAAGTGCCACTTTATGGAACAACAAATTTGGTGTGGTGGCGTCATTACCTTGCTTTTTGCTCTCATCTTGCCCTTCCTTATTATTAAATAATCATATTTTATCTTTTACCCTACTTTTTTATATAACAATTCTACTCTGTATCCTATTTTTTCTTAGTAATATTGCAAGTTTATTCTTCACAGTATTGGTGCGTGACTGTCACGACCCAAATTTGAGGGCCACAACTGGCACCCGGTACCTACTCAACCGAGCGCCACGTACCTTATCCTTCTTTACTATAAGATTCGTCACGGGCCATGATAGGCCACATCTATGTATATAATTAACAATATTAGAACTTAACTCAGATAACTAATTCAAAAAGATTTATATAGATACACAGGGGCCGACAAGGCCGTTGACATGTCATACCTAAAACTATACACAGGACATTGTCTGCAAAACCTCTATGAAAACATGACCATAATATATAAGTCGGAACAGGGTTCCCGACATCCTCATAAAACAAAATAACATATATAGAATGTGACTCGACAATACTCCAGGAAGAAGTGGAGCTCACCAACCAAAAGCTGATATCTGGAGGCAGCCTACAGTGGATGGTCCTCACCTCCCCTATCTACACATGTATGGCATGAAGCACAGCGCCCCAGAAAAAGGGACGTTAGTACGAAGAATGTACCGAGTATGTAAGGCAGAAATAAAACGTAATAGTAAGATACTATCTCGCGGAGGGATAAGAGTCAACTTATAACCTCTGACTTGCCGCTGAGGGCCATAATATATTGAATAAGACCCATCTCGTATATATAAATAAAACTACAATATAATAGTTCTGATTACATCATTCTCGTGACGTTAACTGCCCAACTGATCAGTGGTAACTGCCCGACCGGCGGTAGCACGGTGGTAAATGCATGACTGCCCGACCGGCCGTAGCTCGATGGTAAACGTGTAACTACCCAACCGGCCGTAGCTCGATGGTAAATGATGATGCATATAATACCATTATGAACATTAACATCTTTATCAAATTCCCCAATAGGGAACTAGATACATACTTAGACATGCTTGAATATCATTTTACAGGAATGAATAACGTAGACCTTCTTAGTTACTAAGAATAGAACCATTTATGAAATAACATTACGTTTATGTATCGTTACTTGGACATGCCAAAAGAAAGAAGGATTAGCGTTAACATACCTGAGCCGGTTCTATTAATAATCCCTCTAATACACGTCTTTGCAAAAAAATACGTAACGTCGGATCGATGTAGGGAAAAATCCTTATGATATTCTTGACATCATAACACGTTATTTCTTATCCGACTAATATTCACTCCATACTCTACATCATCAAACAAATTTCTTTCAGCCTTCTTCTGTCATGTATTCCCAAAATT